CGAGCCCAAGGTGTTGCTACTGAAAGTGTGAGTCAGGATCCTGCAGCTCCTTCTGTCTCCGTGCCTCGCAGTCAGGCTGTGCCTAAGAAGCCTGCAGCAGCTAAGAAGGGCAGCACTGCCAAGGGTAAGGCAAAGCTCGGGCTCTCTGAGCTCTGCAGTCATTGAAAAGGTAATTCTGAGGTAGCAGTTACTCCTGTGGGAAACAAGTGAGTGGTTTTGTCAGGAGTTCAGTTAATTCCATGAGAGATCTGCATTCAGGTGTTGTCATTCAGAAGTGGTTTGCTCGTTTCAACTTAGTTTGGAGATGTGCTGTTAGAAAATGTCAAAATACCTCAATAACTGCTCAGTATGAGACGGGAAATACATTCCTTGCCTGTGCAAAAGTGCTGAAGGTGTAAGATTGGTTACATGGCTTTGAGACTTCAGAACTCCTCAGCTGGAAATGGTCTGTAAATGGCTCTGTGTGCGTTTTAATTTGATCCAGGCAGATGAAGCCTCGTTGTTCATTACCTCAGTAAACTGCTGTCTTCCTAGGAGCAGTGCTTCCAGATGAGCTGAGCTGTGCGCCGACCTGGCGGGCAGCACCTGTGCTGGAAGTGAGATGAAAAACAGCAAACAAGGGTTCAAACACAGCGTTGTGTTTCAGATAACCAGCCGTCCATCGTGGATATTCTCACCAAGAAAAAGGCAGCACCAAAGCCCCAAAGGGCAGCACTGAGGGAGGAGCTCCCACCTTCCGAAGCCGCAGCCAAGAAGCCCGGTGCCCCCAGGGGGCGGAAGGCCGCCAAAAGGCTGTCGAGTTCTTCTGATTCAGACTCAGACTTCGGCTCAAAGCCTTCCAAATCCACTGCAGTAAAGGTTTGTGCACTGCCACACGTTTGTGCTGGGGGGGCACTGTGTTATTCTGGTGGAAAAGTGGGCTGGAAGCAGAAGCTCCTCTCGTCTCTGTGACTGATGTGGGGAGCTGGGTGAGAAGGGCATGCCGTGCCTGGCTGTGTGTCCTGGGCTGCTGGATTGGCCTCATCAGCCTGACGAGCAGCAGTGTGTGCTGTGCTTTGTGCTCAGGTGTGTGATTCACTTCTTGACTTCTTTCCCTCCAGAAATCCAAGCGGGACATGGATGACAGCTACAGCATCCATCTGGATGCAGGCAGCCCTGCAGCAGCTGCGCCCCGCAGCCGGCCGGGGCGCCTCAAAAAGCCTGTGCAGTACCTGGAGTCCTCTGATGAGGATGATATGTTCTGAGTTTTTATGAAGTTTTAAACAGTTGGGCTATGGACTAGCAGTGAGCAGAGCTCATGACAAACTTCAGCCAACGAACTGGCGTCTCAGAGTAGGAATCTTTGCTAATTTAACCTCAGAAGTGTTGGATACAAGTGAATACAGAATATTTTTCTAGGTTTAGGATAATTCAGACTTGTTTATAAACAGGAGCACCTGCTGTCCTTTCTCCAAGCTAGTGCTGACGTGTTTCCCTTCTCCCTGTCAGCCAGCTGGAGTTCTGGTAAGTCTTCTTTACTTGTTAGTCATTTTAATTGCAAGACATTTCTGTATCTCAAATCCTATAAGTTATATAGATGTTCCCCTTTTTAGACACCTTTAATAATATTTTAGCTTTTAACTCTACAACCAGAGACCTGACATGTGCCCCAGTAGCTCCGTTTCTGCCATGCTGACTTTCAGCCTTTGGCTTTTTAAATCCAGCTTTGGTAATGGAGGTCTGTGCAGGCCTGTGTGTGGCACTTTTATCTCCTGACCAGCTGCCAGGAAGCCCAGAGCTCATCCTGGGGTAAGGGCTGCTGCTGCTGTGGAGGGAGCCCAGCATTGCTGGGCAGGCACCCATTCCTCATTGAGGGTCTCTGTGCCATCCTGAAGGGAAGCAGGCTGGTTATTCCAATGCACGCGTTGGAAAGCAGCTGGGCTTCTCTGCTGCCCCACTCAGTGCAGGGAAAGTTGTGCAGAGCAGCTCTGAGCAGCGTGGAGCTTCTCGTGCCACTTTGTACCTGCGGGCAGCACTTCCTTCCCCTCCACTCCTCCGTGCTGTGAGCTGTGGGACCCCAGCACAGCTCCTGTTTTGTGTTCCTCAGCAAAAGCAGAGCAGGGTTGGTTTCCTCTTCCCCTCAGCAGTACTTAGCTGGAGTAGGGCTAGTTGTGTTTTGCTTCTCCTGGGGGGCTGAGTGATATTTCTTAACTGTCTGTAAATATTTTGTGTCTTTCTTGTCATTCTTGTCACTAACCTGTCCTTTTAAATATTTCCATAATAAAAGTTTTTCTACTCGAGCTTTGTTCAACAAAAAGGAGTTGTCCATTTCTGTCCAGCACCTTTCACCCGTGCTGGCTCACCGGAGCCCTGCCTTTCTCTTTTCCCCTTCCTCAGGAGTATTCCAAAGATCTGTCACTGCAGCAAATGCAGCCCAATTCCCAGCTCCTTCACTGAGCTGCTCTGTGTGCTGTGCGCTGGGTTGTACGTGGAGCTGTGTGTGGGTCTGTCTGCCCAAGGAGGGGACGGGAGAAGCAGCGGCAGCCCCGCAGCCCGGCCCCGCTCTGCCCTGGTTCCTCCTGCAACCCGCCTGCAGCAGCGCAGCCACCCGGAGCGCCGCGCATCGCTTCTCCTCCCCCGGGGCTTCTGCCGCAGCCGCTGCCCGGCGCCCCTGGGAGCCCCGCAGCCGCACCTCCCCGTCCCGCAGCGCACCGGGGGAAGCTGCTCCTTCCCAGCCTCTGCCCGCCGCCGTGCTGAGGCCTCCGAGCGAAAAGCGGGAGCGCCGTACGGCGAGGAGCCGCCCGCCCTCAGCCCCGTGTGCCGCGGTTCCCGGACGGACCGCGGGGCTCCCGAGGGCGATGGGCGCAGCGCACAAACGCGGCACCGCCAGCCGCGCTGCCCGACGCCGCACGTGGGATGCGGGCGCCGCGGGACCCCCCGCCCTGCACGGCATCCCGGCGCTGTCGGTGCCGCCGAGGTGCTGCGCTGGAACGCAGCGCGGAACGCGCCGTCACATTTTCCACCGCCGGGCTCTGGAGAGCGGCTCCGGCGCGTCCCCGCCGACGGCAGCGCTATTTGCGGCTCCCGCGGTGCGGGTTTGGGGCACAGCACGCGGTGCGGGGCCGCTCCGCTCATCCCGACGTCCACCGAGCGCTGCGCGCACGGAGCATCGCCGTGCAGCGCCGGGACCCCCCGACCCCGCTGCGTTCCCCGCCCCGCCCGGGGCCGTAAGGCCGGCTCTCCGCCCCGCGCGGGATGCGCTCCGCCCGCCCCCCCGGCGCCCCTCGGCCGCTGCCTCTAAAAGGGCTCCGGGCGGCGGCGGTGCCGCCATCCCGACACGGGGCGGAGAGCGGACGGCGTCGGACCGGAGCTCCGTCCGCAGGTACCGGGATGGGGGGCGGGGACGGGACCGGCGGTGCCGCGGAGCCGTCGCTGCGGTGCCGGAGCCGAACCTCTCGGGGCCGTTTGTCGGGGTGAATTTTTGCAGGGGCGGCTTTCGGCTCCTCGGACGGCGGGGACGTTCGGTGCCTTCGGGACCCGCCGGGCACAGCGTCCCCAGCGCCGCCCCCTCCCGCAGCGATGGGCGAGTGGGGCTTCCTGAGCTCGCTGCTGGACGCGGTGCAGGAGCACTCGCCCATGGTGGGCCGCTGCTGGCTGCTGGTGATGCTGCTCTTCCGCGTGCTGGTGCTCGCCACGGTGGGCAGCGACGTCTTCGAGGACGAGCAGGAGGAGTTCGCGTGCAACACGCGGCAGCCGGGCTGCAAACCGGTGTGTTACGACGCGGCCTTCCCGCTCTCGCATTACCGCTTCCTGGTTTTCCACGTGCTCGCCCTGTCGGCGCCCGCCGCGCTCTTCCTCATCTTCGCCGTGCACCAAACGGCCAAAGCGGGGCTCCCCGCGGGGCGACGCGCCCGACGGCTGCGGCGGTTCTACGCGGGCAGCGTCGCGCTCCGCAGCGCGGCCGAGATGCTGTTCCTGCTGGGGCAGCCGCTGCTCTACGGCTTCCGAGTGCCGCCGCTCTTCGTCTGCCGCCGCCGGCCGTGCCCGCACCGCGTCGACTGCTTCGTGTCCCGCCCCACCGAGAAGACCGTCTTCATCCGCTTCTACTTCGCCGTCGGTTTGGCGTCGGCGCTGCTCAGCCTGGCGGAGCTCGGCCACCTCCTGCGCAAGAGCCGAACGGCCCCCGAGCGGATTCCCACTCCCGGGGGGGCGGTTCCGCAGCCGCGCCCCCCGGTGCGAGCTGCCCTGGATGTGTGAAACGCGTGCGCCGTCGCTGCGATGAGTTGTGGCCGCGCTCAGCCTGGGGGGGGGCACAGGTCTGCATTGGTGTCAGGAAGCAGCCGAGCCCTGCTGCCCCCCTCCCTGCTCCCCACCCGGTTCCTGTTGTGGGGCAGCGGATGGGCCTCACCCTGCAGCTGCTGGAAAGAAAACGGGAGAGAAAGGAAAACGAGGCAGTGCTGACCACACGTGTCACGAGTGCGCCGGGGCTCTGCAGGCACCACCCCCCACTGCACTCTGCCCATCCCCGCTTTGTTGGATGCGTGGGGGCAACGGGACCCCCCCAGTGGGGTCAGCATGTTCCCCCGGTGCCCCACAGCAAGAACGAGCCGGGCATAGAATAAATAAACTTTATTCTGGAGCCATTCCCCCTCCCGTCCCCCCCTCCTCCCCGTGCGGCCGCGCCGAGACCCGCAGCCCCCGCCCCACCTGGGGGGGGCCCAGGATAGGGGCCCGCCCGCCCCCCCCCACCTCTAAAACCACTAAAATCTCAACAACAACAACAAAAAAAAATAAGTCATAATAATAAATCGTGTGCCCCCCCCTCCCCCTCCCCGCCCCCGGCAGCGCCCGCCGTGCCCCCTCCACCTGCACAGCCTAAAAACCCCTCCAAACTTTTACAAAGGTTTTAAAACATATTTATAGATATTTATAGATATTTATATATATATACTTTGATTTCTTTCTCTTTTAAATGACTCTGCTTCCTCGGTGGTGGGGTCGGCCGGGTCCCCCCCCCAATGGCCGGGCCGGGCCGGGGCGATGGCGGCGGTCGCGGTCCCGTTTGTGCTGGTGCTGGTGGGGCCGGGGGGGTGGGGGAGGGAGGCGTCCCGGGGGCCCCCGCGCCCCTGAAATGTGAATCAACCAAAGCACTGCAGTGCCCCGGGGTGGGGAGGGCCGGGGGGCAGCGCCGCTCCCACTGGGTCCGCTCCGGTGGGGGTCCCGGGGCTGTGCCGGGGGGGGGCTGCGAGGAGTCCGCCCCGGGGGGGCTGCAGATGGACCCCCCCTCAAGCTGTGTCCTGGTGCACGCAGGGCGTGGGTCACGGCGAGTGCGTGGCCGGGCTGCTGCGCGTGGAGCTCGGCGAGAGGCTGGGGCTGCAACTGCCCGGGGGGGGCCCCAAACCTCCTGTGCGGGGACCACCCGGCTGCCCCCCCAGCGTGTCCATGCCCTCCGAGTTCTCCAGCATCTCCTGGATGAGCGGCGGCATCGAGCCTGGGATCTCCATCTTCAGTGTGATCACCCGCTCGGCGCCTGCAGGGGGGTGGGATGTTGGGGTCAGCGGGGAGGGGGCTGCTGGCACCGCCTGAGCAGCGCTCCCCAGATCGGCATCCCCAACCAGCAGCTCCCAGCCAGCACCCGACTGGCAGCCCTATGCTGGCACTCCAAAATGAGCACCCCAAATCGGCACCCAGAAGCACTGCTCTCCCTCCCCACCAGGGCCAAGGGGGGGCTGTGACCCCACCCCCCCCCACACTCACCCTTGGCGCTGATGCTGCGGAGATCTGTGATCTTCATCAGCATTTTGGGGAACATGTGGGGTTTGTTGGGCCGCCTCTTCCTCACGTAGATCTTCAGTGCCTCCAGCAGCGGCTCCTGCAGTTTGTCCACCTTGTCAGGCTGCTCCAGGTCCTGGCGGTCTGCATGGGGAGGGGGGGGGGCTAAGGTTATGGGGTCTGTGTGCCCCCCCATCCCACCCCTCCCCACCTGGTGCACGGCAGAGAGCACAGAGGGGTTTGGGGGTGGCCATATGGTGAGGATGGGCCGTTACTGTAGGGTCTCCCGGTTCAGCCCTGGGGCCGGGGGTGTCCCACAGCCCCCCCCCCCGGCACCCACCCCCGCAGATGAGGCAGATGGCGCTCAGCAGCCCGGTCTCAGCATCGTCCATCTCCAGCGGCAGCAGCTGATTGGCGAAGGCGAACACCAGGTCTGTGAGCGGCCCAAAGCCGGCGTTGTGCATCTGCGTGCGGTTCAGCGTCAGCCCGTCTGAGAAGGTCATGGTGTCCTGCTCGGGGGTGTAGCGCGTGCAGATCCGCAGGATCTGGGGGGCAGAGGGGTTGGGGGGCTCAGCACCCATGGGTGCAGCGCCCGGCCACAGCCACAGCCCCATCCCCATCTCCATCCCAGCGCCAGCCCCACGCCCGCTCTGTTCTCAGCGCCAGCTCTGTGCCATCTCCATCCCGTGCCCGCCCCACCTCCAGCCCCCTCCTCATCCCCATCCTGTCTTCAGCCCCAGCTCCATCCCCTCCTCATCCCCACCAGGATGTCCAGGCAGGCGGCTTTCAGCAGCGTGATTTGGTCGGCGATGGTGAGCGTGGTGAAGCCTGGCAGCTGCTTGGCGAACTCCACCGTCTTGATGATGCACTTTGTGGACAGCTCACTGAACTTGTCCCACAGGTCGATGTCCAGCGACACGCGCTGCTCCGAGCTGTTGTTCTGTGGGGCAGAGCAGGGGTTCAGCTCCCTGCCAGCCGTGTCTGTGTGCGCTGCAGCTGCTGGCACCTGGTGCATTTGCTCACTCACCGTGGTGTATTTGCCGAGCTGGCACAGTGCAGGGAACGTCTCCTGGTGCGCTTTGCGGACCTTCTCGATCAGCTCCTCCACCTCAGGGGTGATGATGTAGCTCTCTGAGCACTCCGTCTTCGGCACATCCTTCTTCTTCTTATTGCGGTCATTGCGGACGGCTGCAGGGATGGCACCGTCAGTGCCACCAAACCCCCCCGCCCCGAGGCCCCCGGTGTCTCCTCCACCCACAGATTTGCTTCACATCCACCTCTGAGTGGATCTGGAGTGGGGGTCAGCCGCTGGGACACGGCAGTGAGGCAGCAGCTGGGGGGGCACAGAGCCCTGGAGGTGCAGTGGGTGCTGCTCACCCTCAGCGCCAGCGGGGGGGCCCACAGCAGCGCACAGATGGGGCAGGACCTCCCGGCCGACTGATGACCCCCCTGTGGTGCGGGGGGTGCAGCCAGGCACCATGACAACTGGCACAGACAGCACCATTTATCTCTGACATCATCCATCACGTGTTGCCGGGCAACGGGCAGCGCTGTCACACCAGCAGGGTGCTCCCCCCGCAGCCCCCTGCCCCCCCCCAACCAATGGGGGCAGCCGGGATCGCCCACGGCACAGGGTCACCCACCCCCTCACCCCACCCGTCCCATCCCACACTCACACTCCTTGGACATCCCGACCTCGAAGCACTTCTGCAGGCGGCAGTACTGGCAGCGGTTGCGCGTCACCTTGTTGATGATGCAGTTCTTGTCCCGGTGGCACGTGTACACCATGTTCTTCTGGATGCTGCGGCGGAAGAAGCCCTGGGGGCACCCAGAGAGCTCTGGTCAGTGCTGGCACAGCACGGCATGGCACAGCACAGCATAGCATGGCAGGGCATGGAATGGCACGGCATGGCACAGCATGGCATAGCATGGCATGGCATGGCATGGCACAGCACAGCATGGCATGGCATGGCACAGCACGGCACAGCACAGCATGTCCATGCAGCTCTCACCTTGCAGCCCTCGCAGGCGCTGACGCCGTAGTGGTACCCCGAGGATTTGTCCTGGCAGACGAAGCACGGCTTGTAGATGCGCGGCAGCGGCGGTGGGGAGGGCGGGCTGGGCACGATCTCCTCTGAGCTGGTGCTCTGCGTCTCCACGGCTGCGGGGAGGGCAGCGGTCAGAGGCTGTGCAGCCCCCAGAGGGGA